CCTTCATGATTGAGCTAGTTCTAAGGTGAATAAACTGGAGGTAAGCTGGCCATAGGTGAGTTGTATTATGATGAGTGTTTTAACAGGTCCTTGTGAAAAGGTACCTCTTGGAATGATAACTATTTCTGAAAAGGCACGATTGGTGAAAAATTGACTTGGGCCTTATTTGAAGTATAATGAAGGTGATGATGAAGGTGCAACTCTCCAGCTGATTGAGAAGCCTAGCTATCTCAAAATTCCATCTCAAGTCAACTATGAGCTTGGAGTTCAATTGACAAGTTTTCTCCAAATTGATCTTTAGCTTCCCCGGATTTGTCCTAACCATGTTCCCATAGCTTTGGATTCCATTTACTAGCTTAAGTTAACTCCTAATATGTGGCCGCCTATGTACCTTAACAAAGAAACATCATATAAGTAATTTAATTAATAAACATATAAAGACGTGGACTATATGTTATAATAATAACTCATGCATCATATGTTAATTAATGAGTATTATTATTATAACTATATTATATGCATGAATATCAATCAGTGATGCAAACTATAGGACATAATGAATGAATGCATATGTTATGATAATTCAAATATAGTCTAATATGCAAATGTATGCTCATAATAATATAAATGAGTAAATATAAGATAAAGTAAGATAGAACTCCCTTAGATTGAGCTTGATGGATCTTCAATGATGTGAGTATGTCACGAAGAAAGTTGGTACTAGACAGGATCACATCACATTCAAGGCTTATTTATCATCCTTTGAAGGCTTTTCACGTTCTAGTAAGAAGACATGAAATAGTTAGTATTCAAACCTTGCATTAAAGGCCTTATTATCATCCTTTGAAGGCTATCCATGTGCAAGGCAATGAAGGCTGATTTATTTCATCATTTATCACTTTCAAGTGCTATAAATCAGCAAGGAAAAGGCACCACCATGGAATTTGTAAGTAGAACTTGAAATACAAATCCATTTAAGTGAATTCAAGTGCATTTAGATGATTGATTTAATTCAACTGTAAAAACCCTTCATATGGTGCCTATCAACACTATAAATAGGCTGTTGAAAACATTTTGATGTTTCGATATAACAAATTAAGTTAAATGAATTTTAAGATTTTACAAATAATTTTCTAAAAGTATATTCGATTTAATTACTCGAATATCAAATTATTACTCTAAGTCTTTTAAGATCAATTTCAAACCTTACTAAATGTGTAAAATTGTGTTTTATACTTAATATATTTTTGAAACAATTTTCACAAAGTATTTCGAACCAAAATCAAGCCTAAAATCAATTTTTCAGAGTGATGCACCGATGTACCAATCCATGCATCGATGCACCATAGCTCATTACAATTTATTTCAGCTCACAAGTCATATATATTAGCTCACTAATAAAATACCATCTCATCCTTAGCTCATGACATGCATTCTTAGCTCACAAGTACATATACATGCACGACAACAAGCATTTGCATTCATTCTAGCTCATTTCCTTTTATTTACCTTAGTTTCTTTATTCATGTAGGTACATCAATGGGTCGTACACATTATGGTAGTTTGGTAGACTATTTGGCCTCAATATGCAGCTCATAATTAGCTCAAAAGGATTCAATCAGCTAATGGAGACCTATGGAAAGCTCAACTCAGCTGGAGGAGCTAGCATGTAGCTGAACCTAGTTGGATGAACCATTTGAAGCCAAGTTTCTAAAAGTGATGTCAAGTACAGCTCAAAGTAGCTAAAGAAAATGCTAGGGAGCTTAAGAGGTCACAACTAATAAACTTGCAACACACCAGCCCTTACTTGCCTAGCTAGCTCACTACAAGCTTTAATGGAGCTAAGTCATGCCTAGTTGTTGCCTACCTTAATTCCCTTTTTAAGGGTTGTCACTTTTCATTGGAAATAAAATCCTAACTGCATAAATCTCTAGTTTGAATTCTTAGAACAGTAAAATAAAAACAAGAAATAAATCAACATGTATCATAGGGTTTGCATGTGGTTTTGGGATACGCTCTAATCTCCCGCAGCAACACAATTTGGATTCTAAAAAAAGAGACCTGAGTTCTTCTTGCTGGTGCCCCTTTGGCTTGTCAGACCCTTGATCCTAAACCCATTATAGGCTTATGCGGACCGAGTTAAACTCGAAGAGATACATTCCCTTATGCCTAACAAGAGGAATAAATTCCTACGAAGAGTTCACTTTCACCTCTACTTAAAAGGGTTTGGAGCTCAGGTTTAGAGCTTGAAATGCAAATCCTTTTATTTTTTGAAAAATGAAATCATTAGAAAATGATTAGTCCAACTATTTATTTGAAAAAAAATAATCAAAGGTAAATAAAGATGGATCGAATATAAATTAAAATTTAAACTTACAATTTTCGCTTAGGAAGACAACCGAGTAATCGATTTTTGGCCTAACTCTCTTATGTTCTCAACATAGTCGTCAAGCTGTCGCAACGGTCCTTCGGGTGGTCATGGGTTCCTGCTTCAACTTGGAATTGATGCGATGGAGTCACCACTGATGATTTTTTAATTAGGTAGATCGTACATCTTAAACTTATCGTTTTACTAGATCTGCATCTTACTAGAGAATTATTGGATTCAGGAGTCGTTTACAAACGAGGAATGATAAACACCCTCGCATTGCCCTTTCGATACCAACACAATTACCCAGTTGTCTTAATTGCGAAAATTATAATTTAGATAAAAATTAAATAATCAATCAAAATTACTTACCTTTGAAAGTTTACCAACAAAAAATTAAATAAATTAAGGATTTAAAAAAATCTACTCTACAAACATAAAAAAGGATCACAGTTAGCAATATAAAAGAAAAACTACAATAAATAAATGAAATTAACATTAGAAATATATATGAATGTACAAAACATACAAGGCACATGCAATAAATATGAAAAATAATCATACATGCAAATATATTATTTAAAGAAAAGTAAATAAAAATCATTTTTTTAGAAAAAGATGAAAAATTAATTGTTGAATTAAGAAAATGAAAACTAATCAAATTAATGTGAGAAATAAATAATTTAAAGGGGAAAATGGAGTGATTGAAGTAAATAAATAAAAATCTAATAATAAATCAATCAAATAGAAATAAATTAGAAAAACAAAAAGGAAAATAAAAAAGGAAAATGACATAATAAGATTAAATTAAAGAATGAAAAAGGGGAAAATGGTTAAAACATATTAGTATAAAGTTAAGAATTTAAATTAAAGTAAAATGAAATTGTGAAGAGATAATCAAAATGAATTTAAAAAAATGACGATTGTAATGATCTCATAGCCATATAAAAACATGTGGATCTCATAGGGATCCAAATCGGGTCATTTAATTAGAATAAAAAATAAAATAAAGAAAAAAGAAATAAAAAAAAGTGAGCTTGAAAGTGTTAGCATGCAAGTAAGAAAAATACGAGAAAGTAAAAAAATAAAAATCTTTTATTGATTATCTTCGAATTACAATTCTTTAAGCGACCCCCTCTAACTCTTTTTTCCCTCTTCTCTCTTCTCTTTTTCCTTTATTTTTCTTCGTGTTTTAAAGTGATGGAAAAAACCTCTATTTATAGTTGAGCCTCATTACATCCAATGGTCCAGATTATTTATATTAATGGCTAATATGTGCTCAAATAATACAAGATCTTCTCATATAAGGAAATAACATCTAATAATATTTAATCACATCAATTAGCATATTTTTTTTCCATTGATAAGAGATCACACTGAATATAATAAGATTCCTCTAGAATATTCTCTAATACGATAGCATTTTCTTTTCCACAATGGTTCGTGTGAACGGGCTCTCTTGCATTCGAATAAGTTTGGAGCCCGGAAAAAAATTAGGTATTACAATATATATGTTGAATACTCGACCGGTTCTTGATTTGGATGAGATTCTGCTAAAATACAATGATGATAGTTTTCTGATAGTTAATTTCTAGCAGATTCTTTGAGTTACAGGTTAATCCATAGAAATTGGATCATATATGAAGAAATATGGAACCAATTATTATAGTGGCCTGTCAATTATCTTTGAGGTTATACTCATTTAGTTCTTTTAAGGCTCGTATATTGCTATAGAATTTTTTAGTTTCTCATCTTCTTTGTTTAGGATTTCCTGCTCAATGCAGAAGTCTAATCATTTTACTCATTCCTCTATTTTCTTTCTTAACAGCATCAATCATCTTTCTCACAAGAGAGCCCTAACATAAAAGAAAAGAATTTTTTAATATCAGAAGCATATATTAAAATAGTTATATATAACTTATGATTTTCTTTATCTTTTACAACTTTGAATGAATCTCAATGTGAATCTTTAGATTCTCCTACTAATATGAATATTTCTCACAAGGAACTTTAATATCGTGTTATTTTTTAGCTGATATATCAAGTTGATATATTATAATATTATATTTATAATTTTTTAGATATAATTTTATAACAATCAATTAACTCAAATTTTAAGATAATGAAATACTAAAATTTATAATATCTTTTATTTCACTAAAAACAGATATAGAAATTTGATTTTAGAAAAACTTATCAAATACCAAAAAATAATTTATACAACATCAATTAAACACCAGAAAATGATTTCTAGAATTTTTTTCATAAAATATAATTTATTTTTTAGAATTCAGTTTCAGTCTATAAGCAGACCCATAATTACAACAATAGCAGAATTTATTCACCAAAAATTATTGATTCCATGACGCTACTTTGGAGGTATTCAACGATGGCATTGGTCATAGTGGAACTAAAGGTTAATTTCACAATTCATCAAAACAATTTAGATATATATTTTTACAATTATTTTGATATAATTAATTTATTAATTAATCTAATTTGAATATTACAGAGTCCATTTATCTTACGGCCTCAAATTCACGCAATCGAGAAACCTAACCCAAAAAAGAAAGCCCACTTAGCATTAAAAAAAACCCTAGTCATGAATCACTATATCTTGCTACATCTTAGGTTAGGGCGTTTTGGATTCCAATTTCTTGGGTTATCAAGCTTCAGCCTTCAGATCTCAGGTTCTCTACTATTCCACATAAACCCTAAAACAAAACATGGCTGCCGCTGCTCAAATCAGCAAAAAGCGAAAGGCATAGTCCCCAATCTTCTCTTTTTTCATTTCTTCTATCTTTCTCCAACTGGTTTTTGTTTATTTATTCTTTATTTGCCATTTGCTTTCAGTTCGTAGCTGATGGAGTCTTCTTCGCGGAGCTCAACGAGGTGTTGACAAGGGAACTTGCTGAGGATGGATACTCTGGAGTCGAAGTTAGAGTTACTCCCATGCGCACTGAGATCATCATCAGAGCCACCCGCACCCAAAATGTTCTTGGTATCTTTCCTAAATTTTCTACTTTCTTGTGGTGGGATTTTCCTTTTAAATCTGGGTTTTAATTTGTGACTGATTCGATTTTTTATAGGTGAAAAAGGGAGAAGAATCAGGGAGCTGACCTCTGTGGTTCAAAAGCGATTCAAGTTCCCTGAAAACAGCGTTGAGCTTTACGCCGAGAAGGTCAATAACCGAGGGCTTTGTGCCATTGCTCAGGCGGAGTCTCTTCGCTATAAGCTCCTCGGAGGTCTCGCTGTCCGTCGGTATATACTCAAAATTGGTTCCTTCTTATTGCAGATTTAATGTCTGTTTTATTTTGTTTAATGTATGAAATGGAATTTATTAATTGAGGTTTGTTATATAATGTCATCTACAAAGCAGATTGGTATCTCACTACCAATTCTTGTGTCGGAAGGTGACAAAAGTAATTAGATGATATTTTCTCTGTTTCATTCTTGCCTGTTGAAATGCCATTTCATTTCAATGCAGTAACCTTATTGGAGGGAACAACATTAAGTTTTTCTTAATTTTGATTTGCCTTTCTGATATGGATTTTATTTTGTATGTGTGCATGATGTGTTCCTAGATGTAAATGGACTGATCCTGCCTGTGTGTTTTAAGAATGAATGTTTGCATTTGATTTTATTGTGTTTTAGCTGGTTCTTTCTTGACATCTTTTGACTAGAATTTTTTCATCTATAGAGCAAATATGTTGTTCTTATACTGATTTTGTGTTGGAAGATGACGAGATTGATCTGATCCTCCATTACCATCATCCTCGTTTGGAATCCAATTGTTTTCAGACAGTAACATTTGGGAGTTTACATTTTCACTGTTCTCATTCTCAATAACCCACTATGTGATTGATTGTGCTGTGTTCTATTCTAGATGTTAAATGGATGATTGCATTTGTTTGTGTTCTATTTTAGCTGCTTTTTTTATTTTATTTTTACATTTTTTACTAGATTTTGTCATCTATAAAGCAAATAGGTTATTCTTATGTTGATTTTGTGTCGGAATATGAAAAGATCATTCTAGTCCTCCATTACCATCATCCTGTATGAAAAACATTGGATTTCATACTGTAATGTATTGGAGAATACAATTTCACCGTTCTCAACTTCATTATTCAGTTTTTTTTGGTGAAACTATTTTGTCAATTCTTTTTTGTGTATTTATAGCTGAATGTTCTTGGATAATTTTTACAGGGCCTGCTATGGTGTGCTTAGGTTTGTCATGGAGAGTGGTGCCAAGGGATGTGAGGTTTGTACTCCATTTGGTATCAAAATCTTATGATTCCAGATTTTGTTATTTTGATTCTGTTTATAACTTGTATCATCTTTTTCATACGGTACAGGTTATTGTTAGTGGAAAGCTAAGGGCACAACGTGCCAAATCTATGAAGTTCAAGGATGGATATATGATTTCTTCTGGTCATCCAGTGAATGAGTACATCGACTCTGCTGTCCGCCATGTTCTTTTGAGACAGGTTTGTTGTCATACATTTATTTCCTTGACCATTCCCCTCTTTGATTGCCATTTCTGATTGAATTTATTGGTTTTTAACACAGGGCGTGCTCGGTATTAAGGTGAAAATCATGCTTGATTGGGATCCAAAGGGTAAGCAAGGCCCAACAACTCCGCTCCCGGATCTTGTCACAATCCACCCGCCCAAGGAGGATGAAGTTATCCAGATTGAACAGCCTGTGGTGGTGCCAACCGAGATTGAACTCCCTCCTGTTGTGGCTTAAGGCCGATGACGACTATTCTCATAATTATGTAGTTGGTTTTTGGAGTATGTTATTGCCCTAGTTTCTTTGGAAACTTTTTCTGAATGTTTCTCAAATTTTGTTATACATGGAAGTTATACATGGAAGTTATTGCATGATAATGTTATTCAAGGTTTTTCTATTTTATGAGATTTATAACTTCCTTTTAGTCTCTGATATTTGTTTTCTATATTTACAGTTTAACATTACTTCCATTTTATATGAGATTACAAGTTTTCGGAAATTTGAAATTAAATTATTAACAGAGCATAAGAAAATGTTTAAACAATTTCTCACCTCATGGATTATTATTCATTTGTACAAATTTATAATCAACAGGATTTAAAAAGTTGTTAATCGAAAATAATGGATATATTATTTATTGTACTTAATTCATAAATTGGCAGTCTTAAAAAGTTTTTAGATTAAAAAGAATCGAAGTATTAGTCTTGTAAACGAATTGAATGCTTGGCGAACTGTTGTCAGACGTTCGACAGGAAGTTTGTTTATTTATTAAACGAATAAACATTAATAAGATTTTATGTTCGTTTAATGAACGAACATGAATAAATGACTCGTTTGTTCATTTACGTTCATGAACGCTTGGTAATCCGTTCGTTTATGTTCGTTTGTTCATGTTCGGTTATGTTCGTTCGTTTCAATTCAGTCCAATCTTTAAACTCGTTTGAAATATTAAGACTTAATAATTTTTAACCTTAAACCCATTAATATGTTAAAAGTCAATTAATTTTAAACCCAAATAAAAATACTCAAATCAATCAAAGAAAATATAAATCATAAAATTATTTGGGAAGAAAAAGATATTCACAAATATGAACTCAATTAATTTTATGTTCGTTTATGTTCTTTTATGTTTGTTTTTTAGTGTTAATTTGCATTCGTTCATTTATTCTTGTTTAACATTTTAACAAATCAACATGAACGAATATAAACAAATTAAATTTCTTAATGAACGAAGGCGAATAAAAAATTATATTCGTCTAATTGTTCATATTCTCTAGTTTATTAAGTTAAAATTAAATGAACAAATATAAACATATCATCTTTGGCGTTCATTCGTTTAACCTACGAAGCATACGTAATTTCAAAACTGTCAAGTTCCATTGAACCCAAAATCAGAGACGGAAAGGTAACAAGAGCCGCGGAGCACCGGCACCCCTAATTTTGGAGAAACTTAAATTATCCCACTTAAAGTATATATAATTTTTAATTAAGTCTCCTCAAATTTGTTAAAAAAATCTCATGAAATCTTATTTCTTTTTAATATTTTGAATTAAATCTTTTCAAATATATATATATATATCCCAAAAATTTTGAAAATTTTAATTAGAACCTCATTTAAAAAAAATCTCATTAAATCTTTAAAAAACTTTAAAAAGTTTCATCTTCGAAACTTTTAAAAATATAAATGAAACTTTCAAATTATCACGTCAAGATCTATTAATGATTAAAACTCTTCCACATTTAATATGAACCTCATTTTGTGGCGTTTGCTATGTAAACGTCGCTATATTTTTAAAATTAGTGGTGTTTACTCCCAAAATGCCACTAAAAATGCCGATGAACAATTTTGTTGTAGTGATCTCTAGGGATGGATGAGTGACGGTTGGAATAGTCGTGCTTAAATATTTTAAATTATTATATATTTCAAATATTTTCTTTATTTTTTTAATAAATTGTTTTTCCCTTTTAAAATCTTATAAACTCGTCTTCTAAAACTTTAAAAATTTACGTCAGATTCTGCGATCTTTGAGCATCTCATAAGCCAAGTGCACACCATCCAAATTTTGGCTTCCCTAATGATCCCACAACCCTAAACATGGCTCCACTACTTACTACTTGGAACTTCCTAGTATTCGGGGATACGAATACCCTAAATAAAAGACTGTATAGCATGGGGTATTAACTAATTTGAGCGAGGGGTGTAGTGTAACTATACATTTGTTTTCGATGTTCCGTGAAGTTTGTAAAGTAATAGAATTTTGTTTTATTTAAATAATATAATATAAATGCACATTTATTTAAAAAATATCGAATTATAAAATCACTTACTGTATTATTGAAAATAATATATTACCTTTTCACCTATTAATTTAGACAAATATCTTTTACTTTCGGGATTGTAAAGTAAAGGAGTTCTAATTCATGGCATCCTCAAATTTCAACTATAACTAATATTTCCTTTTGCCAAATTCTTGAGGAAAATAGACATTCAATCGTTGTCACCATAATAGGTTTGCAACGACTGCTACTCCTTTTGCAGGCGGAAATCCAATTTAATTAGAAGATTTTGTAATTAATGTATATTAATTTACAATTTTATTATTTTATTTAAAGTCCTAGTTTTAATTAAATTATCAAAACCCTATTCCAACTATTACTCTAACTATATATAATATATATAGACATACACTACTGATTAATCTTCCTTGTATTAACCACATATTTGATCTCAGGGTTTTTTCTTCTTCCTTATTATAGCTTCTTTCGTTGTTATACTTTTCTCAATCAATGGCGTCTCGTGACTTTAATAAGGATATTCTCTTAGAAATCTTCTCAAGAACCGAATTGAAGACGATGAGGAAGTGTCGAATTATATCGAAGGAATGCAAGGATCTCACCTATGAATCGAGTTTCATGCAGTCACATTCTCAGAGAACAACAAAATTTTATGGTTTTTCTAAAGAAAAATGTTTTTAAAGTGATGTGACATCTGTATCTCATGTACGGAAAGGTATACAGGAAATGAGTGTTACATTTATTGGTATCAGAGGTACAGGTTTAGTCGATTCTCGGCCAAAATCAAGTGTATTGTAATGTAAAAAAGAGTTTACATGCCACGAAGATGTCAAGGTTACTAATAGGGTATAAATAGAATATGATCGATGTCTCTATTCACTAATTTCAGTATTATTCTTATGTATGTTATATTAGATGTCGGATTCTATGAATTTGAGAAGAGCAGTTGAACAAGAGAATAACAATGGATCGAGTAGTGAAAGATATGAAGAGAATAGTGATCATCCGATTCTATCCGAGAACGCCAGCACACCGGTACCTCAGGATATGCATGTTCTAGAGTTTGGAGCTTTTATGCAAGCTCTCGATGCTATCTTGACACGGTTCCAATCTCCTTCACCTCCCCCTACTCCTGAGTTCAGAGAAGAAGAAGGTGAAAGTCCGATGGACGCTGAATTATGGCTAAACGATGTTATGGTGATGCTGGAAAGTCTAGAGTGTTCAGATCATGAAAAGTTGGACGAAGCTGTATCGTTAATCCGAGGAACAACTTGGGTGTGGTGGTTAAATACGACGATGTATTCATCACCTGAACAATCGAACTAACAATTCTTTCAAGATGAGTTCAAGAACAAGTACATCGGGAGCAATTTATAAGATCAATGCGATTGAAGTTTCTTAATTTGAAACAAGGTGATAGAGTAGTGCATGAGTATGAGGTTGAATACAACAAACTTAGTCGTTATGCTACTGAGGTAGTTCCTAATGATAAAGCCCGATGTGATTGGTTCATTGATGGTCTAAGGCCTAAGTTGAAAGAGATGATGTTGGCGTTAAACTTTCCTAGCCTACAGGAAGTCATAAACCGAGCTAAGGCTATTGAAAGAGCTCAAGAGGAGACTCTAGCAGCGGAGTATAATATGCATACGAGAAAAAGAATTGGAATGTCTTCGGCTTCTCATCATGCTAAAAGAGGCAAGGGCTCGAGTTCCTGGTATACTGACAGAGATAGTTCTATTGCCGTTTTTAGAAAACTAAACAATCACAATTTGTTGATGCTAGCTCGGGTAGAGCTTATGGAGAAAGAAGTAATCCATGTCAGACATGTGGTAGATTTCACCGGGGAGCATGTATAGTGCTCTCTGGCGCTAGTTTTCTTTGTGGAGAAATGAGTCACTATGCTCGGAACTATCCACAGAGATCCAAAGATAGATCAGTGCAAACTAAGAGGTCAGTAGCAGTACTTAGTAGAAGAAGAGGAAGAAGAAGATTCAGTGGTCAATCTGAGTCTAGCCAACGTGATAATTCCGTAAAAAGACTCAATTTCTAGTCTTTTCACTTAAGTTATTGTTCTTCTAAACAAAGTATGCACAACACTTTTAGTTTCATTTAGTTGTATATAGGTTATGTTAGCTTGTGGTGGATAAGTATTGCTTAGGCAAGATTTATTTGATTTGATTGATACTGTTGAGGAGAAAGGGTTGTATGGATTGTGTTTGTGCAGGAAACTTATAGAGGAAGAACATTTCAGTCGCGACAATGAAATTTGCAAGGGCCAACGGAACAAATAAGAACATAAGATGTAATACCCCAAATTTTGGTTAGTGACCAAAATGTAACTTTTGAAAGTTTGATGGTTAAAGTATAAACTTGGAAAAATTTAGGGAATTAAGTGATGAAGTTCCTAAAAAGAATTTTATTCTATAAATAGATAGTTTACTCTTGAGAGTGGGGTTTTATGGAAATCATATTTTGGATTTGGAATTTTAGTAAAGAAAAATTAAAAAGGGTTAAAAACGGTAAGGAATCGGTAATTTCATATTGAATTGGAATTTTACAAAAATTTGAAGGATGTTATAAATTGGTTAAAAATATTATTTAATATTTTGGATCAGAGAAATTTGGTTTGAAAATGGGCAATATTTCAGATTTAATCGAAACAGTGGAATTTAGTGACTAAAATGCAATTTTTGAAAATTCGTGAGAATTTTCGTAAATTAAAGTCAACATAATTAATCTTTGACTTTAAAAGATGATAAGTATGAGGTGTATAGGTTTTATGGTGAATATGGAGATTCATTAATGGAAAAAATGGAATTTCCTATTGATTTGAATAAAAAAAATGCCATTATGTGATATTATGCCATGTGATTGATTATTTAATATTAGACTATCAATAATGGTCGTGCATTTTCAGCTTCTTTCTCATCCAAGTTGCCGTGGGTTTTCTCCTAAGGTAAGAGAAAACTTCAACTCAATTTTCAAGCAATTTACTTAGGATTTTGAGTAAGTTGTTAAT